TGAAAACACCAAATTATATCCCCTTTTGTTTATGCTCCTAACTCACTTGAAAACACTAATCATATCCCCTTTTGTTTATGCTCCTAACTCACTTGAAGACACCGATCATATCCCCTTTTGTTTATGCTCCTAACTCACTTGAAAACCTCGGTCATAGCCCCCTTGTCACTGCGTTTCTCTAGTGAACGCAGACTGACACTAAATAAATTATCATCTCTCTACCTAGGATTAAAAAAATGAAAGCAGGGCCTCGGTGGTCTATTGGATTTCTCCTGAACAATATCGCTCAACCTTTCCACAACGACAGCCGTTATTACCTAATCTTTAGGTCAATTGTATTCATACAATTCGCTATTGTTGGCCTTTGTGGCATTGAGAAAATAAAAGGTCAACCTAATTTATTTGTAAGCTCAACCTGTATTTATTTACAGGTGGTGATGAAGAAGAAGAAGGTGAAAGAAAGCTAAAAAGACGAAGATAAAAAATAAAATGTAGAATAAATCAATAAAAAGAGGCTTAAAGCTTCGATTTTCAGATCATGCAATTTATTCAATTAGGTTTTCGCATATTAGCCCATGTTCGCGTTGATTAAATAATAGATAACACGCAATTAAGTCGTTAGGAACCGCTTTTTTTCTCTCTGGGGTGATTCACTAAATGGAATCAGTTGACCGGCTCGTGAAATTAAGGTCACAGGGATTGACCCTCACATTGATACACACCCGAACATACGAACGGTTGAATAATACACTGACTCTTGAACGTACGGGTCGATGAACGGAAACCCGCAAACGGGAACGGACGCATATAGACGAACGGAATAACAGGCACGTTCGGGAATACTCACTAGCGTTTATAGTGCACTACAAGATCATGTAAAGTGGGGGAAGAAAAAAAAACTTCTCGTTTCAATGCATATGCAAGACTTTCCAGCTTTTCCGGACTTCCTAGCTTTTACAGTCTTCGCAGGATGAAAAGTTGCATCATATATGGTCTTTCAAATGAGCTTCTTAAAAAGACAACAAAGAGAGAGAGAGAGAGAGAGAGAGAGAGAGGGGGAGAGAGAGAACAAATTAATTTTCCTCTTCGCCATCTATCCCTCCCATCAGCTCTCCTACCCCTCAGTAATTAGATAATTGATTTATCGACTCAATGTATTAATCAACTCACCGTTTTTGTAAGGTCGTCTTGCAGGCGCTACATACACACAGACACGGACCGGGGGTGATACCTGGCTGCCGGTCACAAGAACGCTGCCACTCTTGGCGCCTTTGCAAAACATTACAATTTAACGCAATCTGTACTTAAACCCATTGTACGCTCTTGTGAATATATATAGGACTCTTTGGCAGTCTCTGTTTGCGTTTCAGCCACTTCAGTCGTTCACGTAATCTGTCAGACTTTCACGTAATATGTCAGACTTTCGTGTAATCTGTCAGTTTTTCACGTAATCTGTCAGTCTTTCACTTACAAGTCTTAACCTTTAGCCTCAAATATCAATTTCAACTTAGGGTTATCTTAGGAAAAGACACATTATCCTAGTAACCACTTGGTCTGGTCGGTAGAGCGAAGACCTTGCTTCTTATTGAGTCTGCGTTCGATCCCCGATGGCCCAAGAAGTCGGGCGTGCCAGTGCAGTATAGCCCTATTGGCCTAGACCTTTCTCCAAATAATTACCTTGCCTGGTAACTGTTATTGCAACTCCGATGCTGATTTACGTCTGTCAGTTGACGCTTCCCGCGCGTTATACAGAAAGAATTAGTGAGTTTTGTTATATGAAGTTGTATCGAGTTTATACACTTTCGTCACATTTCTTTCAAAGGACCGATATACGCACGGACGGACCAGAGGACCGACATATAAACGGACGGACGAAAGAGAAGGCGTTCATACGAACGACAGAATCGACATAAAATCTAAGGAATGAGATGAAGGACGTGCGATTGCACGAAGGAGAGGATTACTAAACGAATCGGACGCAAGAGAGGACATCATACAAATACACGAACGTGGACAAAAATAGTCGACTAAGGGGTAATCGATTATATAGGGCTTACTGATGACTGTAATGTGACGACAGGGCTTACTGGTAACTGTAAAGGGACGACAGGGCTTACTGGTGACTGTACGGGGACTACTGAGGCTTACTGGTGACTGTAAGGGGACGACAGGGCTTACTGGTAACTGTAAAGGGACGACAGGGCTTACTGGTGACTGTACGGGGACTACAGAGGCTTACTGGTGACTGTAAGGAGACGACAGGGCTTACTGATGACTGTAAGGGGACGACAAGGGCTTACTGGTAACTGTAAAGGGACGACAGGGCTTACTGGTAACTGTAAAGGGACGACAGGGCTTACTGATGACTGTAAGGGGACGACAAGGGCTTACTGGTGACTGTAAGGGGACGACAGGGCTTACTGGTAACTGTAAAGGGACGACAGGGCTTACTGGTGACTGTACGGGGACTACTGAGGCTTACTGGTGACTGTAAGGGGACGACAGGGCTTACTGGTAACTGTAAAGGGACGACAGGGCTTACTGATGACTGTACGGGGACTACAGAGGCTTACTGGTGACTATAAGGAGACGACAGGGCTTACTGATGACTGTAAGGGGACGACAAGGGCTTACTGGTGACTGTAAGGGGACGACAAGGGCTTACTGATGACTGTAAGGGGACGACAAAGACTTACTGGTGACTGTATAGACAGACTGTTAGACTGACGGTCGAGTGCAATCCGGTATAGCCCAGATAAACCGGAAAAAGCGCAAATCCATATATAGAATACACGGTGTCTGTCCGCGTTCAAAGTGCCTCAATATTCTTGAACTAATCATTAAGACACTACTATTTTAGAACTTGCATAGCACTGTTTTATTTAGTGCCTTTGGCACTCGTTCCCTCGTCGCCTGACACAGACAGGTCAATCTACTACCAGTTATCACTCATATGTACAGTACATGATCTTGTGTGCATGTGATTATCACCCTTACGCAGACGAGGAGTCACAATAACGTGGCTAAAAGTTGTTGACCAAACCACACACTAGAAAGTGAAGGGACGACGACGTTTCGGTCCGTCCTGGACCATTCTCAAGTCCATTGTGAATGGTCTTACAGTCACCAGAAACGTGGTCGTCCCTTCACTTTCTAGTGTGTGTGGTTTGGTCAACTTATCACCCTTACGTCTTGAATGGCTGCCAGCCTGTTAGACAACAGCCAACTAGTCGGACAGACTTTTCTCTGTGTGATCGTGTGTACATTTCAATCAACGTAAGATATTAGCCTAAACTGCCTCTAGCTAATTTAAATTTACTCAAGTGTCTTTAACAACAACAAAAAATTTACGTCGCTATGTCTCATTTGCTTTTCTAGCTTCCATTCGTGGCTTCTAGTTCTGCTGTTCCTCCTGTTAAACACTTCATTCTCATCGGCCTAGTCCATATCCACCTAGGATCTTTTACGTCCCCTCTTTCCCATCTCTAAATGTAGTATGATCCATCTCTGTCTATACAGAGATGTCGCAAAACATCTCGCAGTTTTGGAAGCAGACTTGTGGCATATCGCTGAGCCTTCTCGAGTTTTGTCTCATGGTTTTTTTTTAATGTGTTCCACGCAGGAGACGCAGGTTTCATTACTGATCACACATGGGCTGTTAGCAGTCCTTAAAATGCCTCCAGATTGTCCTTGTCCAGACTTCTGAAAGCTTTTCGGCTGTTAACCAGCTTTGCAAAAACTGCTGGTGTGAGTCTGTTGATATGTGTGTCTAAGAGACAGGAACATGTGTTTACTCCCAAATGTGCCTGCCTGCCTACCTACCTGAACACCTATCTTCCTGTCTGCCAGTCTGTCTGTACACCCGTCCGTCTGCTCACCTCCGTCTGCCTGTTCACCCGTCCGGCTACCTTACATGAGTTGGCTAACAGTGCCATCCATCAAACCAGAAGCCATTGTTCAACAGTGGTAGTTTGAAGTATTCCTTTTATGAAACTCTGAGCCACCTCATAATATATTTAAGCTCTTTGATCTGTATTCTTTCTTCAAAACTTAATTCTTTTCTTCTTTTTCTTTTTTTTAGGGGGGGGGGAGTGCAATTGATTTTTGCACTCTTATAAAGCATGCAGTTCTTCTCTTTTATTAAATAAGAGTCGCAAAAAATTAATTGACGAGAGCACAAATGCGTCTTCGTGACTCACACGCGTCGATGGACTAAGAAAATAGCACAAGTGTAACATGTTACAATAAATGTTATACATAATTTTTAACCTAGAAACACAAATACAAGGCAATGCGGGTAAGCCAGCGCGTTACCAAGGTCTCCGGGGTCTACCAACGCGATTCACGGACCCTTTTGAGTTAGTTAACGAGATTACAATTAGATCCAGCGAGTCAGCCAGTACAACTACAACATCCCATAGGTTAGACAGCAACCTGTCCTCAGACAAATCCATTACTATCGGAAACCGCACCTCCCTCAAATCACCTGGATAGTTATCCAGATATTTGTGAGGATTTGAAAGCATATTACAGTTCCTATAATAGTATACATGTAAACTGGGAAATGAACCTTTGTTATAAACAGAGATTATTTTCAAGTTGTAACTTTAATGTAATAGAAATCGTTGGTTTAAAATATAAAAAGTGTATGCTGAAAACATTTTCTTTGAGAAATTTGGTTTTCTGTAAACAAAATTCGAGGGCACACTAAAAGTTTTTTATTTCACGTTTCACATTATCGTCACTAATACTTCGTATTAACGTAATCAAACGACATTTGAAGGTGTATCTCTGCTGGGTCCTCAACCACACCAGAGTACCTTATGGTAGAATCTTTACGGAGGTCAGAGTATCCTGGAAGACTCCACTTTCGGAGGTTACTGTGCCCCAGAAAGACTCAGGTTGAGGTAGTCAGTTTCCCAGGGGATACTCACCTGACGGAGGCTATAGAACCACGGGAGACTCACCTTACAGAGATGAGTGTATCCAGGGAGACTCAC